GATCAAGGGATGTTGTATGGCCATGCACAGTGCTGCCATTCTGGCAGCAGAAAACAGGGCACTGAAGGCTGCAAATGAGAAGCAAAAGAGAAAGCAAGAGAGGCGCCGTACATATATAGGACAGGAAGATGCTTTAACTATTGAAGAAGGGATAGATCGTGTACGAAGAGCTAATGAAGAGGAGAGTAGGGTGGTTGAGGTTACTGAGGAAAGACCACAAAAACGTGCTGCACGTCAGTGCAGTATATGTGGAACAGTTGGGCATACTGCCCGTACATGCTCCCAGCGTACAAGAAATAGTTCTTAATGTAATTAGATGATTTCTCTATATAGTTGTGGTGAAATTTGACTGTGAAGCTGTATGATGGTGGGGAAGTGTCCGACTAGGCCATTTGTCCGACTAGGTTATAGATTACGTTATTGTGTCACATGACTATGAATAGTATATCTGTTGGAGTATATTTCACTTGTGTGTAAACCTTCTAAGTTTATATAGCATCAAGACTATTACTGAAGTTACGTTGGAGGACGCTGGTTACAGATTCGCCAAGAAGCCAAACAAATATCATGGCATTCCTTTTCGGCCGAGTGTGATAACTGAACATTTTGGATTACCTGACTCCGAGACCTGACTCCGAGCTTCCGATAGGTATGCAGTCTCTAGTACTGTTTGCGTTCTAGAAGCATAGTGTCGACTGTCTGCACATCTCCTTCTGGCGAGAACAGAGTAATTAATCCATTGCATGAGTTTGCATCCTCTTCGGCAGAAAAATCAATCCTTGTTTCTAGGTTCTTTGGGTTGGCCATGATGTTACTCATGCCTCCTGGTCTTGACTCCTGGAAAAGGGATTAAATACATATTCTCTTCTAGAGCTGGGGTATAATAAGAAATTTTATGGATAGTGGAGACCACTGGTACCCCGTGACCTGGAGCCGAAAAGGCCCTTAATTAGTCTTTGTCTGATTTTTTTTTTAAAAAAAAAGGAGAAGCGTGACAGTGAAGCTCCTTCTCTTTCTGCTGGCTTGACAATATCATTCCATGCGCTAAAATATCTGCTGTCCTAGCTATGCGTATACTTGGACGACGAGCCTGCAGCGTCGACAACATTACAACAAAGCCTTCGATGTTGGATTCTAGGATCCAGTATATATAGACGTCTATATATAGACAGAGATGTGGATAAATTCTTCTGACTCTCTAGGTGATTGAGGGTAGGTAGGAGTTTTTTCGCTTGAGAGGCTTGAGTAATTCTAGGTAGTGAATGATACAGACAAAGCATATTCAGTATCTATATTCTAGGCTGAACTTCACAAAGAGTATGGAAATCAGTGACTTTACAGGGAAAAGGGTGTATTCAGTGCTAGTGCATTTGATTTTCGACCCAGTGATCTCATAGTGGGAAAGGATGTTGTCAGCATAGATTCTGGTGCTGATAAGATTCACGGAGAGGACAAGACAGCAGGCTAAAATATTACTGACAGGGTTGTAGAAAAAGGAGGCAACCTTGAATGAAAGGGTTTGTACTCCGTAGTGCCATATTGGCATCCGCTAGTTTAAAAGACGGTAGATAAATAGATCCATGGTAGATTCCCATAAGCGTATACTATTAATACCCATTATATAAGGCCTTCTAAATAGTTAAGTTAGGAGGACTCTGAAACAAATAATACCCGGTAGTGATAAATAGAAGGTAGTTATATAGCTCTGGTAGGGACGAAAGATAGAATCCAATGGCCTATAATAAATCAGGATTGCTGGATGTTGTCAAACACGTGGGGTCCTTAAAAGGACGACGTCAATTCTGGCCAGGTTGGATGCGTGGAGTGAGGCTTTTTTGACGTCAATTTCCCATGGTACAGACAGACCATGGAGATGCTTTCATGTACTGACACACGGCTATCCAAGGCATGTGATTGGGCACACTGCCAAATGAGCGATTTCTTTTAAATACGCTGCATTCCCGTTTTCCTGTTCTTTTCATCGTTTCTTTCCCCTTCTCTCTTTTTCTTTTTTCTTCTTCCATCTCTTTTTTTTATTAAAAAAATATTCCTGATTAATTCGTATTGCTATCGAAGCTATGTCCTGGTCACATGCGCAGTACGGAGCGGTAGCGCTCCCCAAGTGAAACATGACAAACTGCGCAAATCGGTTGGGAACGCCCTACATCATCGATCAATCCTAGTCATTGATCGCCGTCTTCAGTCATGCCTTGAGGCTTGACTTGTTGCACGGCCAGTTTTATCTTCAAGAGCCACTCCGCTAGGGTGCATAACCCATTTCTTGGCCGCGTCATCCCGGGCAGAGGCCACGGCAAGTACGGCAAGTAGCAAGCGCTCATTTCGCCAAGTTGCCATTCTGCGAGACCTTGTGGCTTGCCTCTATCTCCAACCAAGGAACGAGTCGCGGGCGTCCTGCTTCTGCTTCAGGTTCGTCCAATCCCCCAACTGCCCTTGGGGCCCTGGTCGCCGGCGCTAATCAAGCTTGGCTCTTTTAGAACAAGGGCGGATGCCAGCAGAAGCATGGAGAATCCGGATCGAAACATGGGGAGCTGGGCCAACCCCTCCAGCCACCAGGAATGCAGGCGCATCCTGCAGGCAGAGAGAAACCAGCTCCCCTCCTGTCCAGCCGTCCGGACGCATACTGACAACAACTCAAGAAACAAAAGGACGCTGGCGAGGGGAAACTGGCGAAGTGAAGATAACGATGACTCCACGTCGGGAGATCGGTCCTGGATTGCCGCTAGTAACCACGCCAGCAGCTAGTAAGGCCGTAATTAAACGTAATTAAACTAATCTAGTGCCGAATCATCCTAGTCCCTTCGATGGTGTTGCATTTGGTAGCTCAGCGATCCCGATGGGCGATGGCATCCAGGATCAGCTGTTTGTTGATGCTCTGCGCATTCATGCTGGGTTGACGGGGTGGCGACAAGGCATTGTGTGAATTCCGTAGACAAGTAGACAAGCAACTTGGCAGTGCGGTGACAAGCCAATCGATCGATTGGCAAGATTAAACAGATACCAGGAAGCTTTGAAGATAACCCCGGTTCTCCCAGTGCCGTAGCCCAGTCGCTAATTAGGGCCGTGAGGTCTTTTTATCGCTGCCAGCCTAACCAGAGCTAGACAGCATCGGCTCTTCCCAGCAACAAAAGGCCCAAGTCGCAAGGTCCACCTTCCTCTGTGCTCGCCTTCCCAGCAGGCAGGAAACACGCCCCTTCACCCGCGTATTTAGTGCTTCCCTTCCTCCCATTCCACTGTGTTCCCAAGGACCGTACAGCTAGCTCCCTCCATCCAAAGACCACTACGCCGTATCGCTTACAGAGAGTATTGTCATCGCTGCGGACCGCTCATTTCCTTGCGCGGCATTTTTCTCTCTTCCGTCCGGCCATCTAATTTTTCTCGTGCCTGTCAGCCATGCGGTCGACCGTCGCGCTGGTCCTCTCCGCCTTCGTCGCGGGCGTTGCAGCTCAGAACAACTACACCTTCCCTGCTGGCTTCAATCTGGGCCTCGTCCCTGAGACCACAAAAGGTGAGTTGACGCCTTATGCGCTCTAGGCAGATGATGCGATGCGATCGATGCTAACGGGAAAATCAGCGGCGTGGTGCCAGGCCGAACGAAACACCTGCCCGCAGATCTGCGGTGGAGCTGCCTCGCCTAATGACTGCGATACAGTATGCCACTAGAAGTCTAGATCTGCCGCGTTCTTTTTTGACTGACCCGGAATTGCACTAGGACACCCTGAACTTCAGCTGCGTTTGCATCAACGGCACTGTCCCCGACGTGTCTGCATACCAGAACACGATCCCCTTCTTCGTCTGCCAGGAGAACTACAAGCAGTGCATCCAGAATCACCCCAACGACCTCGACGGCCAGAACCAGTGCAAGGCAAATGCTAAGTGTGGTACCCTGAACGCCACGGCCATGGAGGACTCGGCCTCGACCACCAGCGCCGCTGCTGCTTCAACTACCCTGTCGACGGCCACATCGGCTCCTGCCACCGCGCAGACGACGGCCACCAGTGCCACCGCTACGGCGTCTACCTCGAAAGCCGCGGCTGCGGCTGTCCGAGTCGCCCAGGACCACTCCACGGGCCTGTTCGTGGCCGCTATGCTTGCCGCGTTCCGCTTGATTCTGTAGAATCGAAAACAGTGTTCTTTGCCAACCGATCTGCGTCTCTTTGGCTAGGATCAAGAGGATAATCCCTTGCCGCTATCATTTCGATTCTCGTGGCCATTGCAGAATCACGGACAATATCCTGTGTCTTTTTCAGCGCGGAGTTTTACGGATCTCTTCTTTTTGGTCTCGTGTTTGATGTTTGATTCTTATTTCTCCGAGGGTTTGACACCGTTGTCACGACTGTGGTTATGACCGCGATGCCTCTCCTTAAAAAAATTACATATGAACTGCGCCAGCTTGCCTGAGCCAGAATATTGCTGATCCATTAGCGGGCTAGTAGCGCCTTGTTTCTAGCGTGTAGTTAATACCACCAGCATTCTAATCACCTGAACATTGCCGCAAACACTTCGCTTCGTTCATATCATTGCAACTTCCAGTCGATAGAAGCGCAAGAGTCAAGTTTTGATAGTAGTTCATTTCGCGTTTCTTGGCCGTCTTAGAAGAGTAATGTGCGGAGTAACGGTAGGACAAGGCGGCCGAGGGCGGATCACTGCAATATTGGCTTCAAACAATCACACGACTTTAACATTGCAAGCCATTTGCTATTCTCAATTCTTTTCCTTCATGACATGTAAATTGCCTGATGCACGCGTTTTCTGCGTGGTGGTGCTGCTGTCCTGCAGTCCTCTGCTGGGCTCTCCGCCCGCGGAGTTGTGCTGCTTCGCCAAGAGTTTGCAGCACACACTGAAATTTCTCCCAAACTTATCGATAGTCAATCATTAGACCCGACACAGCAATCTCCTCCTCCTCCACCTTCTTACCACCAAGCAAACCCACGTCCCCCCTTTCGCTTTACTGCTAGACGTGCTCGGTCATGCCGGCCCCTATCAACACCCTCCTCATCGAGGGCACTTTCACCGAGCTGTGCGAGGAGCTCGCCCAGTACCTCGACGTCCTGCGCAAGGATGAGGGGAGCAACCTCAGCGCCGACATTGCCCCGCTGCTCGAACCGTTGCGCCAGCAGGAACAGAATGGCGAAGAACCCGACCTCAAGCAGCGCGATGAGGTTCTCAAGAAGATCGTGACCGCCGCTGCCGTGCTAAACGCTGCCCCAGAGAAAGGTAGGCGGAACGCTATCGAGAAGATCGAAAAGGGAAAAATAACAGAAGAACAAAAAAACAACTGACGAGACATATTACAGAGATTATCGCTGCTTACAACCTCCTCGTTCACCTCGTCCACCAGTCGTCGAACCCCGACATATTCCTGTCGCGCATCTGCACCTACCTGGCCAAGCCCATCACATCTTCCCCGCTGCACGGCCCCTCGCTGGCGCTATCCATCCTCACCACCATCTTCAACACCCTCGCTCCCTCGGACACCAGCCGCTACCACGTCTTCTTGGCCATCGTGGCTGTGATCCGCCAGTCCGGACACACCACCGCTTTTGAAGCTCTCAAACCCCAGTTGACCGCCCAGCTGCCGCAATGGTTGGCCGCGTGGGAGCTGGACGAAGAGGATGCCCAGAGACTGCACTTGGCCATTGCGGATGCCGCCGAAGCCGCTGGTGACAGTGAGCTCGCCCACTCACACGTTGTCGAGGCGCTGCACACTATCCCTGCCAACGAAGCCTCCAGCAAAGAGGCCCGCGAACTGGCGATCCGGGCCCTGACGTCGGCGCTGACGCACCCGTCCATCTTCGACTTCACCCCGCTGACGGCCTCCGATGCCGTCCAGGCTTTGCGGTCGAGTGACAATTCGCTCTTCGAACTGCTCGAGATCTTCGCGGCCGACACGCTAGACGCCTACGAAGACTTTGTCTCTTCTACCCCGCTGTCCTCCATCTCAGGGGGGATATTGGCCGATGCCGGCGAGATCCTCCAGACCAAGATGCGCCTGTTGACGCTGGCATCCCTGGCGACGTCGGCGCCCTCACGCTCCCTGCCGTACGCCACGATCGCCTCCGCGCTCCGGATTCCCGAGGCAGACGTCGAGAAGTGGGTGATTGACACGATCCGTGCCGGCCTCGTCGAGGGCAAGCTGTCGCAGTTGCGGTCCGAATTCCTGATCCACCGTGCCACCTACCGGGTCTTTGGCGAGAAGCAGTGGGCGGAAGTCCAGGGCCGGTTGATGGTCTGGCGTCGCAGTCTGGAGGGCGTTCTGAACGTCATCCGCACGGAACGCGAACGGTTTATGCGCGAGACCCAGCAGGCAGCCGCTGCGGCCGCAGCTGCTGCCGAGGAGGGCGGCAAAGGGGAAAAGGGCAGCGGGAAAGCGAACGGAGAGCGGAGACGGAATCCTCACCAGCAGCAACAATCGCAACAACCACGAGAAGTCGAGCTAGTGGGTGGAGGTGACTAAAGAAAAAGAAAAAACCAAGACCAAAAGACGGTGATTTAATAATGAATGAATGAATGAACTTCGAGATAAGAAAAAACAAAAAAAGAAGAGTATCTCGATGCTTGTGTGTATGTGAGTCTGTGTGTGTTCGTATCGCAATAGCTTGTATGCATGGTGCATTTTCCTTTTTTTTTTAATTGATATCTCCTTTTTTTTACACTTTTTCGCCATGGATGGGAAAGTTCTTTTCAGCTTCATTCAGTCTTAGAGAAGAGAATAGAATTGTCCAATTTCATCATCGTCGACATTTATCCAACATTCAGATTCGGACTCAGATCCTCCACACCTAGGGATCATGATAAATATGATGATATATATTATACTATACTATACTGGTGAATGACAACCACCTGGAAAAATCTACATCAATGACGAATTTACACAGATATTCTCATTCATTCATTCATTCAGTCAGTCAGCCAGTCAGTCTTCTGGTTGATTTGGATGGAAGCGTGGATCTTAAAAAAAATGGAGCGGCTGGTTTCTTATTTCTATTTCTATTGTCTTGAAATATATGAACATGGAATGTGCCAATTAACAGTTATAGGATAGACAAGAAAAATAAAAGAGATATATAAATATGGGAATAGATCGGCTTGGAGAGAGAGAATGAAAGAGAGGGAAGCATGCGTGTGGAGTATGCATGTGGAGTATGCGTGTGGAGCATGCGTATGGGTGCTTCATGATGATGTCGCTGGCTGAATGATGTTATTATAGAGGGGTGAGACCCTTCGTCTTGAGTCCCTCCTTGATGCGTTCGTACACTTCCTCCCTCGTCCCGGTTGCCTCCACACTGATGACCTTGCCGTGCTTCTCGTAGTGGTGAACGACCGGCATGCTCGTCTCCTGGAACACGCGGAACCGCTTGCGGATCGATTCGATGTTGTCGTCGTCCCGTCCGCTCGTCTCGCCGCGCTTCAGCAGTCGCGCCTGCATCACGTCCTCCGGG